AGGGGACGGGGGGGGGGCGGAGGGAAGGCGAGAGGCGCTCCGTCGAACACCGGATCCGTGTGAACCCTCCGCGAGTCGCCCCGCGCCGCCTGTCGAATCCCCCCTGCCTGGCGCAAAGTCCAAAGGCGGGATTTGGCGACTCCGGGAGGCTTCGAGAGGAGGTCGGGAGTCAGATCTCAGCGGCAGCGAAGAGGCGAGCGGCGGGAGGGGGGGCTGGGAAACGGGGAGCGGGAGAAAGGGCGCGCTCCGTTGCCACTCCGGCGAATAAAGAGGAAATAATCGGTGAAAAGGGTTATTTTCTGTGGTCATTCGTTTCCCCCGCCTCCGTGTCTTTCGTCAAAGAAATTCGTTGGCCTTTTGAAAGAAAGAAAGAAAGAAAGAAAGAAAGAAAGAAAGAAAGAAAGAAAGAAAGAAAGAAAGAAAGAAAGAAAGAAAGAAAGAAAGAAAGAAAGAAAGACCCTCCCAAATTAGAGGAATGCAAATCAATCTTCCCCTCTTTTTTATTATTCCCTTTAATAAAGCACTTGATCTTTGCTTGGGAAATCTCCCTTAATGGCCGGGGCTTGCCTCTCCGCCAGGCCCCTCCGCCGTTATTTATGGCCTCTAAATGGCTGAAAGTTCCCTTGACGGTCAATTTACAAGTTTGGGGTTTCCCCCCCCCTCCCCCGTCCTGCCTTTTGTCCCGAAGAAAGACATCGTGTGTTGGGAGGGCTTTGAAAAGGCGCCCGCAGGAGAGGCCCGGCCGGGCCCGGCCCGCCCGCGGCAAGAGAGGGGGAGCGGCACAACAGACTCGTCCCCCCCCTTCTTTGGGCATAATTGCCGGAGCCGTTTTCAAAGGCGAGCGGGAAGGCCGCCTGCGCCCGGGGGAGCCGCCTGGAGTCGGTTTGGGGGGCTTGTGGCGGGGGGGCCGCGCTCGCTCGCTCTCGCTCGCTTCTGCTGCTGCTTCTTCCCTTTTTGAAAAAAGAAAAAGAAAGCGTGAATGAGAGAGATAGAGAGAGAGAGAGAGAGAGAGAGAGAGAGAGAGAGAGAGAGAGAGGCGGCTGCGTGCGGCGCCTTTGGCTCCGCGCAAATTGGTGTGTCGGATGGGTCTGGGGGCGATTCTCTTTGCTTAACACAAGAACGCCTTTGTGAAACTCGCGCCGGACGCCTGGAGACCAACTTGGAAGGCCGGGGAGAGGGTGGGGCTTTTTTTGTTTTTTGGCTGGTTTATTGGTGTCTGTGCGTCCTTCGCCCAGCGCCGGGAAAGAAAGGCTCTCTCCGCCGAGGCCCCGGAGCCAAGAAGTTGCCTGGATGACGGAGCGCTCCGTCCCCTCCGAAGGGCCTGGAAATGAACGCTCATTAAAGAGTCCCCGAGAAGGCAGGCGGCCTCTTTCTCTCCCGGCTGGCGCGGAGCTGCCTTGGGTCCGAGGGCGCTGCTGCCCCAGGCCTGAGGGGGGAGCCCGGAGAGCTGGGCGGGGGGCGACGGCTCCGCTCCGGGCCCGGCAGCCGGGTTGGGAGGGGGGGAGAGAGAGGAGAACCGGCCCAGGCGCCTTGGGTCCGAGGGCGCTGCTGCCCCAGGCCTGAGGGGGGAGCCCGGAGAGCTGGGCGGGGGGCGACGGCTCCGCTCCGGGCCCGGCAGCCGGGTTGGGAGAGGGGGAGAGAGAGGAGAACCGGCCCAGGCGGCGTCTATGGAGGCTGGGGACCGGAGCGGGGCCCAAGGCCCACGGTGGCCCAAATCGCCCCGGCCGCCTGCGAACCTCGGAGGTGACCCGGGAGTTTCCCTGCCCCCTGGCGGCAGGACAGCCCCCGCCCCCGGCGCGCCGCCACAGAGGGGCCCCGGACCAGCCTC